AGTCTCACTATGTAACCCAGGCAACCCTCCTACTCAATCCACTTGCCTCAGCCTCCTGAGTGCTTGGATTACAGACATGAACCACCACACCCAGCAACAACTGATTTTCTACAAATCTGTAAAAGCAATTCAATGGAGGAAGGATGGGGTCAGAACAATTAGAAATCCATATGCAAAATAACGAACCTCGACCTAATCCCAACAACAGAGAAAAATTAATGCAAAATAGATCCAAGATACAATATATAAAACCTAAAGCAAGCCAGGCACCAGTGGCTTACACCTATAATCGTAGCTACTTAGGAGGCAGAGATCAGGAGGATCGCTGTTGGAAGCCAACCAGGGCAAATAGTTTGAGAGAACCATCACAAAACAGGGCTGGTGAGTGGGAGAAAATATTTGCCAGCTACATATCAGACAAAGGACTGATAACCAGAATATATAGGGAATTTAAAAAACTAAATTCTCCCAAAACTAATGAACTAAATAAAAGCATGGGCAAAGTGAACTTAGAACAGAACTTTCTCAAAAGAAGAAATTTCACCAATGGAAAAAAACACATGAAAAAATGCTCACGCATCTCTAGCAATAACGGAAATGCAATAAAACCACACTAAGATTCCCCGTCACCCCTGGTTAGAATACGCCCATCATTAGCAACACCACAACAAGGTGTGTTGGCGAGGATGTGGGGGAAAAAAATGGAACCCTCTTACCTGTTGGTGGGAATGTAAACTAGGTAAACCCTCTGGAACAAAAATTGGAGGCCTACTTAAAGAGCTAAACATTGATCCTATGCATTTGATCCAGCAATACCACTCTTGGTGATTTTTAACTGGATAATCCCCAAAAACCTGTGACAAGTTACTCCAGAGGCAAACCTGCACAACCCATGTTTATGCGGCACTATTCACAATAGCCAAGCTATGGAAACAGCCAAGAAGCCCCACTACATGATGAATGGATTAAGAAAATGTGGTATCTATACACAATGGAATTTTATGCAGCCATGAAGAAGAACGAAATGTTATCATTCGCAGGTAAAATGGATGGAATTGGAGAACACCATTCTGAGTGAGGTTAGCCTGGCCCAAAAGACCAAAATCGTATGTGTTCTCCCTCATCTGTGGACATTAGATCAAGGGCAAACACAACAATGGGATTGGACTTTGAGCACATGATAAAAGCTTAGCACACAAGGGAGGGGTGAGGATAGGTAAGACACCTAAAAAATTAGCTTAGGCATTTGTTGCCCTTAACGGAGAAACTAAGGCAATACTTAAAAGCAACTGAGGCCAAAGGAAAAGGGGACCAGGAACTAGAGAAAAGAGCAATCAAAAAAGAATTAACCTAGAAGGCAACATACACGCCAGGATATTAATGTGAGTCACTCCTGTTTGGCTATCCTTATCTCAACCAAGCAAAAACACTTGTTCCCTTCCTATTATTGCTTATATTCTCTCTTCAACAAAATAGAGATAAGGGCAAAAGTAGTTTCTGCTGGTATTGAGGGGGTGGGGAGAGAGGGAGGGGGTGGAGTGGGTGGTAGGGAGGGGGTGGGGGCAGGGGGAAGAAATGACCCAAGCCTTGTATGCACATATGAATAATAAAACAATAAAAAAAATTAAAAAAAAAAACAGGGCTGGTGAAATGGCTCAAGATGTAGGCCCTGAGTTCCTGAGTTCAAGTCCCAGAACCAAAAAAAAAAAAACAAAAAAACCTAAGCTATAAAACTTAGAAAATAGGTGAAAAGGTTAGAAAAAGAGTTCTTAGACAATCCATAAATTATTAATAAATTGGACATTTTCAAAATTAAAATGTCTTGCTTTGCAACCCACTGTTAAGAGAAATGAAAGGCCAAGTCACACATTTAGAGAAAATATTGACAAACCATATGTCTGACACAAAACTCAATAGTAAGAAAACAATCCAATTTTAAAATAACCAGAGCCTGTAGTCCCAGCTATTCAAGAGTCTGAGGCAAGAGGGTGGCAGAAGCCCAGCAATTCAAGGTCCACCTGAGCAGCATAGCAAGACCCCATTTCAAAATACATTAATTTTTAGGGCTGGGGAGTGGCTCAAGTGGTAGAGCACCTGCCTAGCAAGCATGAAGCCCTGAGTTCAAACCCAGGTACTGTCAATAAATAAATAAATAAATAAACTTAAAAAAATTGTTAGACGTTCTTGAACAGACACTTCATCAAAGAAGATATGCAGAAGGTAAATAAGCACATAAAAATGCACATAAAGCACTCAACCTCTTTTGCCATTAGAGAGATGCAAATTAGAACTATGATGAGCCCCACCACTGACGAATGGATTAAGAAAATGTGGTATCTATACACAATGGAATATTATGCAGCCATGAAGAAGAACGAAATGTTATCATTCGCTGGTAAATGGATGGAATTGGAGAACATCATTCTGAGTGAGGTTAGCCTAGCCCAAAAGACCAAAAATCGTATGTTCTCCCTCATATGTGGACATTAGATCAAGGGCAAACACAACAATGGGATTGGACTTTGATCACAAGATAAAAGCGAGTGCACACAAGGGAGATATGAGGATAGGTAAGACACCTAAAAAATTAGCTAGCATTTGTTGCTCTCAACGCAGAGAAACTAAAGAAGATACCTTAAAAGCAACTGAGGCCAATAGGAAAAGGGGACCAGGAACTAGAGAAAAGATTAGATCAAAAAGAATTAACCTAGAAGGTAACATACATGCACAGGAAATCAATGTGAGTTAATGCCCTGTATAGCTATCCTTATCTCAACCAGCAAAAACACTTGTTCCTTCCTGTTATTGCTTATACTCTCTCTACAACAAAATTAGAAATAAGGGCAAAATAGTTTCTGCTGGGTATTGAGGGGGTGGGGAGGAGAGGGAGGGGGCGGAGTGGGTGGTAAGGGAGGGGGTGGGGGCAGGGGGGAGAAATGACCCAAGCCTTGTATGCACATATGAATAATAAAAGAAAAAAAAATAAAAAAAATAAAGTGGATTACTAAAAAAAAAAAAAAAAAAAAAGAACTATGATGAGGCTGGTAAGCTCTTGCCTAGGCTGTGGGTTTGAGCCCTAGCACCACCCCACAAAAAAAGAACCAGATTTTGCTAGTGTGCTGACACACACTTGTAATCCCAGTACTCAGGAAGCAAGAGGACCATGTCTTTGAGTTCAGTCTAGGCCACACAGCAAGACCCTGTCCCAGAAAAAAAAAAAAAAAAACTGGACTGGAGGCTCGGTTAAAGTAGTAGAGCACCTGCCTAGCAACAAAAAGGAAAGAGCACTGACAAACAACCAGAATGTATCTCCAAGGAACTGAGTTGCATTTAAAACAAATCCAATCCCCAGCTGGGCACCAGTGGTTCATGCTTGTAATTGTAGCTACTTGGGAGGCTGAGATCAGGAAGATCATGGCTCAAGGCCAGCCCAGGTAAAAAAAGTTCAAGACCCCATTTCAACCAGTAGCTGGGTACAGTGGCACACACCTATCATCCCAAGCTACACAGGAAGCTGAGATCAGGAGGATCATGGTTCTAGGCCAGCCAGGGCAAAAAAAGTTCTCAAGATCCCGTCTCAATGGAAAAAAAGCTGGTCATGGTGGTGCATACCTGTCATCCCAATAACGACAGGAAGCTTAAAACAGGAGGATCTCAGTGCAAGCAGACCTGGTCAAAAAGCAAGATTATCTCCAAAATAAGCAGAGCAGAAGGGTGTGGAGGTATGGCTCAAGTGGTAGGGCACCCGTCTAGCAAGTGTAAAGCCCTGAATTCAGTACTATCACCTAAAAAATTCAATCCCAAAAGGTCGCATACTGTATGATTCCATTTAAATCATACTCTTCAAATAACAAAACCTAAAATAGAGAATGGACTAGTAGTTTCCAACAGTCCAGGAACAGGTATGAGGGAGGAAAGGCAGTGAATTTGGCCTTGAGGGAGCATAGAAATGATGCAACTATTGTGTACCTAATCATATCAATGTCACTATCTTCATTGTGATAGTGCACTAGTTTTGAAAGATGTCATCATTGATGAAAACTGAGGAACGAGTACACAGGACCTATTATTCTTCAAATTGTGTGTAAATCAATGATCTCAAAAGGAAAAGGTTAATTTCAAAAAAAAGGTGACATAGTACATGAAACTTTTTTCGGTGGGACTGGAATTTGAACTCAGGGCGTCCCACTTGCAGAGAAAACACTCTATCACTTGAGCCACACCTCCAGTCCATTTTGCTCTGGTTATTTTGGAGATGCAGGGGGGTCTCACATACTATTTGCCCAGGATGCCCTCACACCAATAGACTCCCAAGTAGCCAGGATTACAGGTGTGAGCCACCTGCACCTGGCTACATGACACTCTCAAGAAGACAAACATATAATTACATAGAACAGATCTGCAGTTGCCTGAGGTCACAGGGTGAGAGGACATGACTATGAAAGGGTACACAAGGCAGTTTTTTAGAGTGATGAAACGATTCTCTATCCCATGGATCAGTTAGACCACTCTGTATGTGTTAACATTTACCAACTTGTACAACAGCAAAATCAATTTCACTATAATTTTAAAAATAAAAAATTAGCCAAGCATGTTGACACGCACTATAATCCCAGCTACTTCACAGGCAGAAGCAGGAGGATCATGGTTCGAGGACAGTCCACGTAAAATTGGCAAGACCCTACCTCAAAAACAGTAGTAGAGTTTTACCTAGTAAGAACAAGGCCATGCGGTCAAGCCTCAGCACCAAAAATAATAAACAATTTTTAATCGAAAATTGAAAGAAAAAGATGGAAGGCTATGGATATCTCCAGGACTTTGTCTCTTGGCTAAAAGAAAACTGAAAGTCCAACTGAGAAAATTTTTTCACGAAAACCATTTCAAACACAAGAGAAGTTCGCTAAGAGATTTCATTTCTGAATTACATTTTGACCACATCTCCAGGTCGCTGGGAGTGTTGTGAAAATTAACTGGAGGAAACTGGGAACTGCATTTCTCACCAGGCTGTGGTTGAAGACAGTTTCACATGAAGACCCAGCAAAGAAATACCCCGAAACACAATTCCAGGAAACTGGTTTCCCAAGGCCTTGGTATGCTCTTTCCTGGTAAGTAAGGCAAGACAAGATACTGGTTACACTTGCCTTTGGCTGCCAAAGGCTCAAAGACAAACCAGCAGCTCAACATTAATACACAAGGTTCCCAACTAATGACTTAACAATTTTCCAACTTCATGATGATGCAAAAGTGATATATATTCAGTAGAAACCATACTTGGAATTTTGATCTTTTCCTGGGCTGTGGACATATAATACTTTATTATTATAACACTAGGAGGCAGCAGTGAGCCTCAGCTCCCAGTCAGCCACATGATCTCCAGGGGGACAAGACCTACCTACATACACTGTAAGGTACTGCCATGCTATGACGTTCAGTAGCTTAGGTGTATTATATGAATTTTCAACTTATGATGAGTTTATCAAAGCATAACCCCTCCTACGTCAAGAAGCATCTGTATCTGTTATTCTTAAGTCCGCTACCCATTAACACTCTAACTTGGCCTTGATCAGCTGTCTCTCATTTTCCCTGATCCCAATCCTTATTTTACAAATAATTTCCTATTTTATGGCAGAGATCCCTACATATGCCACCACATCTATGATAAAATAGAGGGACAGACACACAACAAGCTTACCTGGGATTTGGCCATTTCGTCCTATTCTCAGGAGAAGGCAGAGATGTGTGAAGGCTGAGTTGGAACAAACAAAGAGTAGAGCATATGAGGAGAATACCCTCAGGTTGTTCAGGACCCAGAATTACCTGCCTAGAAATCCCCTCCCATAAGCTGGCCAGGAGGCCACAATCTAGAAGAGTTTAGGCAACAATGTGGTTTTAGTAATAACCTGTGTATTTTTGACTCTGTCATGTGAACATTGAATACAAAAGGCTTTTAATACATATATATGTATGCAAAAATTGTACATAGATCCAGAAATTGTGCTTCTAGGTATTTTCCTTAATGAAAAAATTTATCATAATGTATGATTTCTCCATAATACCTTCTTCTCAGCATTTTTTCTTGTGCTGCTGAGGATGGAACCCAGGGCCTTGCAGATGTTAGGCAAGTGCTCTACCTCTCAGCTACAACCCTAGTCCTTAGTACTGGTTTTAAAAATGCCAAATATAAACGATCCTATCATAATAAGAAAATAAGTACATACAAGGGATGACATGGTATAGAGCTGTTAAAAATAATGTTTAGGACTGTACGCTTATTATTTATGTAATCTGTAGTACATATAACTCAATTCAGAGTTTATACAATGTTAGAGAAAATATTAACTTGAATTAAACTTTTTTTTTTGGTTTTTTAGACAAGGTCTTGGTATGTAGTCCAGGCTGGATTCAAACTCGTGATCCTCCTGCCTCCACCACCCAACCACTGGGATTACAGGTATGTGCACCATGGCTGGCTGAATTACATTAAATTTCTAAATGAAAAAGTAGGTTATAAAACTGCAGGAACCCATTTTAAAACTATACGTTAAATGTTTAAGATATGTGTAAGAACAGACATTTAAATGAGTTAAAAATCATTTTTTCCTCTATTTCCCAATTAATTTATAATTTAAACGTGTTATTTATCAAACGCCAAAAAACAACCCTGAACTTTAGCGCTGCCTATTATCTGAATGATGCTTTTCCCTTCCCACCCCACCCCTCCCAGGTGACACTCTGTGGCGGAGGCCTAGGGCCAGGTAAGCCCTCTCAGGTGCCGGCCTCTTCCCTCTCCTCACCTCACGGGGATGTCTTGCCCAGGTGCCGCAGAGGCCTTCAGATGCGGATTCACTTCAGCTGGGCATTCGCACCAGGCCCCTGCCTCGGACGAGGGAGGACGGACAGAGGGACAGGCGGGGCGCGTGTAAAGAGGGGCCTGGGGGGATGCGCAGGAACACTCGGCGCGGGTCACTTGCTGGAAAACGTGTAGAAGTCAAAGTTTAACGAGCCCCACTCAATCGTAACTAGCCCTATGGGTGGGCTTTGCTTGAGCCCGCAAGACCCTCATCCACTGACCTGTCGGGCCCCCATCTCCCAACCCGCAAGCCCACCCATCGATGACCCCCACCAACCTCCCTTCACTCATCTGCCAGAACTCCCTTCCCTCGGCCTTCAATCTCACTGCCTCCACAACAGATCTACTGCTTGCTGCTGTGGAGACCGCTACAGGAGCTGGCCCTGACAAGCACTTCCGCTTTGGACTACCTCGCAGCCCTGCCGCTCCATGAGCCGCAGCGACCGGCTCTGCGCATGCTCAGTGACGGCTGTGAGTCCGCATCCGCCAATAGTCAACATGAGGCTGCGAAAGTCTGGGGCCGCCGCGCAGGCGCACAAGGAAGGTGGCCTCGCTGGTGACGTCACTGGTCCGAAGGGAGATGGCTGAGCCCACTGCGTCTCTTGCCCTCCCGGGTGGCAGTGTAAGGCAGGTGTTCACGTTGTTCTGCAGAGGCCGGCATTTCTAAGACTTCAGACACCAGTTTTCTTATGGCGGCGCAGAGAGAAAAAATGCCCTAATTAAGGGAAAGATTCCAGCGGGCGGGAATTTCGTGTCTTGAATTCAGAGGGCAGCAAGGGAGCTTCGGCTGCAGGTGTACTTGAACGGGAAGACTGGATGTGGGCGGAATGCTGTGCCTGTGCAGATTAGGAGGGTGGGGGAAAACCGCTGGCTCCATCCAGTGGCCAGTGCTGGGAGTTTTACCTTCTAGCGTCTAAAGGACATTGGACGCTATGCAGACAACAGTCAAGGGTAACGGGGAGGGGGAGGGGGATGTATGAAGCGGTGGCTGACAGGTTGCTTTCTCTGGATGGGCAGAAACACTGTCAGCGTGTTGGGAATGTAGACGGTGTGGGCGGCGGCTAGGCGTAGCCAGGAATAGGGCTCATTTCATTCTGGACATAATGGGAAACCATAAGATCAGTACGAAGCAATCTAGCATTATACATTAAGTTAGGAACACATATATATTTGACTTGTTTGCTTATTACCTGTCTTGCCCCACTAGAATGTGACTTCACAGGGATTTGCTTAAGCACCTCCTGTATGCCAGGCAGTGTTCTAGATATTGGAATTACAGCAGGGAAAGAAACAGATATAAACAAGCATGATGGAAAGGGCCTGAGTTCAAACCCCTCGCCCACCAACTATGCAACGTAAGGCACAGCTCTTAATTTCTCTGCGCTGTTTTTTCATCTACAAAAAAGGGACAGTAGCACCTCATTAAGGTGGTAAAAATGAACTGACAATTACAAATGGGTTTTAGAACAAGGTCTGCCACATAGCAAGGCCTGTGTGTTTTTATTATTATTTAAATAAAATCGGATGTGTGTAAATAAATAACTTTTTAACAAGGAGGAAGAAATAGATGACTTTCCATGGCCAGGAGTGGTGGCTCATGCCTGTAATCCCTGAGACTCAGGAGGAAGAAATAAGGAGGATTGGAGTTCAAGGCCAGCCCAGGCAAAAAGCAAGACCCCCATCTCAAATCAATAAGCTGAGCATGGTGGTTCACACCTGTAGTATAAGCTACAGAGAGGTGTAGGATGGAGGATCTCAGATGGTAGAATCTCATCTGAACCTGGCCCTGGGCAAAAACACAAGACTCTATTCAAAAAATAACTAAAGCAAAAAAGGGCTGGAGGCATGGCTCAAATGGTAGAGCATGGGCTTAGCAGGTACCACCAAAAAAAAAAAAAAGACTTGTGGGCTGCTTTATAGAGAAAAGACTGTATAGGGCATGGTGGAAACAGGAAGAGCAGTGAGGAGGCTCTGACAACAGAGCAGCAAGTGACAATTGCAAATCTCCTTTGTGCCAGGCACTGTGTGAAGCACATGATATAACCTGCCTCAAGAGTCCCACAGTCCCCACTTGTCAGAAAAGGAAACTGAATCCCAGAGATAAGTGATTTGTTCAGGGTCACAACGTTCCCAAACTCAGATCCATAACTTCCACCTAATGATACTCTTCTTTTGCTTATTCAATATTCCACAGAATTTCCGGGAGATAACTGAGCCTCAATCTAGAGCCATTAAAACTAGCTAAGGAGGCTGGAGGAGTGACTCAAGTGATATGAGCGCCTGCCTAGCAAGCATGAGGCTCAAACCCCAGTACCGCCACCAAAAAAAACAAGAAAAGAAACTAGCCAAGGAATGGAGATTTCATGTAGACAAGGCAAAAAGAGAAAATAGGAGAGGGACTCAGATATCTTGCTGATGTTCCTGAATAACAGAGCCTCGTACATATAAAACTTGTCCACTCAGTGCATTAGGAGGTGGAAAACAGGGAGAAATGTTTTTGAGCCAGTGATACTCCCCTCAGAAACTGTCTCTGGGAGAGTTGGGGGCGTAGCTCAAGTGGTGGAGCACTTGACTAGCATTCAGGAGGCCCTGGGTTCAATCTCTAGTATGGCAATATAGAAATAAATAATAAATAAAACCATTAAGGGGCTGGGGATGTAGCTCAGTGCTAGAGCACTTGCCTTGCATGCATGAGGCACCACATAAATTTTAAAAATGCACACTTATTTTAAAAATTAAAATTAAATTTAAATTTAAATTTTATTTTTTAAAAAAGAAGGAAACTGTGGGCCTACAGAGCGCATCCTCAAGCTCCTGCTCAGAGCCAGGACACCCACTCTCTGTCCTGGGCCTCCTCGACCATTGCTCCCTACAGGTGTGACCTCCTCATCTGTAGCCTAAGCAGCAGATGGCTGGGTAAAGGGGTGTGGAAAGCTGACAGGTAAGTCCCTCGGCAGAGTGCACCCATGATATGACACTCCCACCCAAAGGCAGTGAGAAAGGCCTCCCACCTGGATGGTGAGTCATCACTACAATTGCTCTTAAGGTAACATCTTATTTTTATTAGCATAAATTAATTATACACAGGGGCTTCCTCGTGATATTTCCATGCATGCATATAATAAACTTTGATCAAATTCACCCCCTTGATTCCTCTTTCTCATTCTTCTCCCCCATGATGCAGCTTATTAACAAAGGACGTTTGATGCATGTATGGAAGTGTCATGAAGAAACCCCTTATTACATCCAATACATGCCATTTCTTTTTAAGATCAAGAAACAAATAGGTTACAAGGTCTGTGGACTGTTGGAGCTGAGCAGTTCATTCCTGCTCCAAGTCCTGTCCACTGGCCCAGCACCTACCTATCAGAGGAGCTAACGAGCCCAGTGAGATTAAGAGAGTTGAAGGAACAGTTTTGTTACCCTTGTCCAAAGTTGCCTCCAGGTACTGGGCCCAGGGAGGAACATTTTCCACATGTCATGTAGGTTGCCCAAAGTGGGTTTTGTTCACCACTCTCTTACACCTTTTGTTTTTCTCCATGCTATTGTCTCAATGTTTGTGTCCTCCCAAATTTACATGTTGAAATCCCAACCTTCAATTTAATGGTGACAGGAGGTGAGGACTTGGGAGGTGATTATAATGGCCATGAAGGTGGAGCCTTATGAATGGGATTAATGCCCTTATGAAAGACATCCCTAGGCCAGGCATGGTGGCACACATGACTATAATCCCCATACTCACAGAATCTGAGGCAAGAAGATTGTGAGTTCGAGGGCAGCCTCGGCCTCAAAAAAATAAAAAAGAAAACAGGTTCCAGAAAAGTCATCTGTCCCTTTCACCAGGTTAGGACACAGAAGAGAAGGTGCCACCTATGAATCAGAAAGTGAGCCCTCATCAGACATTGAAGATGCTGACATCTTGGACTTCTCAGCCTCCAGAAGAATTAAATTTCTATTGTTCATAAACTACCCAGTTTATGACATTTTGTTACAGTAGCCGAAATGGGCCGGCACTTGATGACTCAGCTTACCTTGGAGCATTGGCACCATAGAAAGAAAAAGCCTTTTGAAATCAAGCAAATTTCGACTGAAAACTCGGTTCTTTATCCTTGAATATCTATGTAATTTTAGGAAAGTTACTTAATATTCCCTCAATCTCAGGGGTTTTATTTTTATAGAATAAGGTACTGACCTTGCTTACTGCTTTAATGTTCTAGTGCTTGCATTCTGAACATTTCTAACACTCAGTCTTGAATTCCATATCTCACATTCACCAAGTTCTCATACTGAGGAACAACAGCTTAAGTCTTGTAGACGAGTTCTCAGCACAGAGGGATCTGGTGGGAGTTCCCTAACTGGAGAAATGCCAACTTCCAGCCTGCCTAACCCACTCAACAATGGAATGAGAAAAGACAGAGCGCTGGCTTTTGCCTCATCCTATTTAGTATCCAGACTTCCAGTCTGGAAGGGAGGTCTACAAGGTTAGCATTCTTTGTGTAGCCGTCTGTGAATCAGCACTATCACCTCTCAGCCTAAATAGAAGAGGAAATTTAATTTGAAAAATTCCAATAATCCCAGCCCTGACCAGCATAGAAACATAGAAGAGAGAAATGGTCTAGGAGTACAATTCTGGTCAGTGTACTCAAAATTCAAGCACAATAGATGCTATTTAATAAGAATTCACCCAGGAATTCATGGACATAGCAAGACTAAGTCATCCACTTAACTGCCTTGCAGAATCCGTCTCAAGATCAGTAGTACCCAGGGAACTAAGTAACGGCCTAAAAATTCAGAGACTGTAGAATTTTCACACTTATCAAATCCTTCAGTGCACAACAGACCTGTGTTAAAATCCCTAAGCAAAGGTCTTGGATATATGGGGAGAAATACAGCTAATGGAGTTGGGATTGGGGGGGAGTGAAAATGTTTCAAAATTGATTGTGGTGAATATCTCCAAAAAACTGAATGGGTAAATTTTATGCTGTGTAAATTATATCTCATTAGCGCTCTTACAAAAATTCCTAGGCCCAAAAAGGACATATCTTATCAAGACTACAAAAAGTGTTGCCATTGTGAGCAGTCATTTTGGACCATGAAGAAGCAAGTGGGGATGGCAAAGCAACAGCACAGAAGGTGCCAGGTCTTTGGTGACCTTGGAGCAACTACACCAGCACTGAACTACCTACCTCCAAGAGAGAAATTGCCTTTTCTCTTTTTTGTGTTTTTGTTTGTGGCAGTAGTGGGGATTAAACTCAGGGCTTCTTGCTTGCTAGGCAGGCACTCTACCACTTAAGCCAAGACCCCAGCTCTTTTTGCTTTAGTGATTTTTTTGGGCTAGGGCCTCACGTTTTGCCCAGGCAAGCCTGGTCTGAGATCCTCTGATTTATGCTTCCCACCTAGCTGAGATGACAGCTGTGTGCCACCATGCCTAGATATTAGTTGAGACAGGTTATCAAGAACATCCCCTACCTCCAGCTGGCCTCAAATCATGATCCTCCCAATCTCCACCTCCTGAGTAGTTGGGATTACAGGCATGAGCCACTGGCCTGGCCTTCTTACCTCCTCTTGGAGCCAATGATACTTGTGGTAGTATTGATCTATGCAGCCAAACCTAATCCTGAACAATAATCAGACTTTTCCATTTTGGCCAATATGTCAGTAAGCAGGATGCAGGAGACTGGTGGGGGTGGTTAATAATGGGAGTGAAGGCCAAATTGGGAGTGAGTCGGGGCAGGAGAGGCAATGGGCAATGGAATGATGAATGAGCAGCAAAACAGAGTGACATATGGGGGGATAGACTGAAGGACTGACTGTTAAGGTTTGGATTTTAAATATCCCCCAAAAGCTCTTGTGCTGAAGGCTTGTCCCCAGTGCAGCAGTGTTTCAGAGGTGGGGCCTTTGGGAAGTGACTGGATCCTGAAGAATCTGACCTCATGGATGGATTAATCTATTTATAGATTCATAGGTTAATAAGCTATTGGGTCGTGGTGGAAACTTGAGGAGATGGGGAGGGCTGATGGGTCACTCAAGTGGTAGAGTGCCTGCCTTAGCAAGTGTGTGGCCCTGAGTTCAAGTCCCAATACCCCCCAAAAAAGGAGAGATGGGGCCTAGCTGAGAAAGTAGGTCACTGGGGGCATACCTCTCTCCCCACCACAGGCCCAGAAACAATGAAGCCAAGTAATCATGACTGAAACCTCTGAAAATCATGAAACCATGAGCCAGAATAAACCTTCCCTCCTTGTAGGATGTTTTCCTTGGGTGTTTTGTCACAGTGACAGGAAGCTGGCTAACACAATGGCTATGCATTAGATTTTGAATTAATTTGAGATCATGGTGAGGCTGAGGCTGTGATGAGACAATGAGGCATAATCTAAGTGGGAAGAGGTAAAAGCTGGAGCACGCTGTGGGCGAATAGGCAATGAGAGGTAGACCGAACAGACTTGACACAAATGCTCAGGATGAGACTGTGACTGAATGGAGCCTTGAGACACAATATGAGAAAGGAGAGGTGAGTTTAGGGAGAAAGTAGGAGTGTATGCACGAGGGGCAAAACAAGAAGGAACAAAGATGAATGTGAACCGGATCGAGATTGATCAAGAACAGTATGAAGGAGAAGGGGAGTCACTAGAAGTGAATGACAGCAGACAGGTGATGCAGGGTAGTAATCCAGGAATGTGGGGGGGTCCCTGCATCCCAGCAGGAATCAGCAGATGTGAATGAGCTAAAGCACGTACATGAATGGAGGTGACGGTGTGCAAAGCGAGAAGGAATGGAAGTGAAGAGCAGAAGGTGAGCGAGTGTGGGTATTGTGAGGCAAACAGAGAAGGGATGAAGGTCACATGGCCCAGAGTGGGTAAGCAGGAAACTTGGGGCCAAATGTGAGCAAAAAGTGGTGATTTCAAGGCACAGTGTGACTGAACAGGGTACTGAGGCATAGTAGGAGCAACTAGACATGAATCAGGAGCGGAAGGTGGGTGAGAAGTGGGTACCAAGGGTTACAATAGGAGCAAATGTAAGTGAATAAGAGGCCAAGTGAGAGGGAATGGGACGAATGAAGAGAAAACTGAGCAAGAACAGAGGTGAGCAAGCAGAGTGAGGACATATGGGTAGTTTGAGCTAGCATTTGGAAACAGTACAGGGGAGTAAAAGGGGGTGAGGGGCACAGGGTGAGGCTATGGTCGTCATATATTCTGCAGAGCACGAGGAATCCAAGGTGGCAGTAGACACGGTGTAGTGAATGGCACTGACCACTCAGCAGAGGGGGAAATGGAGACGACAAGGGTCAGATTGAGTAGAGATGGAGATGACCAGTTGGTAAAATGTTATTCGTGACAATAGAGTGGGACAGTGGGAATGGAGGTGGACGTGGGCCCAGCGCGAAGCCTAGCACTCAAGTCCTGTCTGTCTTTTGTCTCTCCCTGCATCCCTTTCTGATATCTCTAGGTTTATCCCTGTCTTTGTCTCCTTCCATCTCTGTGTAGCTGTCACTATCTTTCTTTTCCCTGTGAGTGTCTCCCAGTCTCCAACAGAGCTGGGACTGGGGAAAATGGTGAGGTGCTCAGACCTCTGGCTTCTGTGTTCTAGAATCTATCATTTAGACCAGTGCTCATAGAGCCTAGAGTTCCAGAATGCCCTGAATTCTAAACATTTCAGGGTGAGCCTGCAGCAAGGAATCAGCTGGCAAGGCTTATGGGTGTCAGAATGCAGGCCTGGGGCACTGTGCTGGTGACCATGACCACACTGATGATTACCACTATGGATGCGAAGATTTATGAGCGCTGTGAGCTGGCAAAGAAGCTAGAGAAGGCAGGCCTCAATGGCTTCCAAGGCTACAGCGTCGGAGACTGTGAGACTCCAATTGCCCCAAGTCCCACCCATACCCCAAACCACCCACTGCACTCAGACCCAGGCCTTGGTTGTCATCTTTCACCCCCCTTCCAGCAGGGCATGATCTTTCAGTCTGACTGACTGATGACTGGTTTAACCCAATTCTAATGTCATCATTATCATCATTGCCTTTACAACCATCACCTCAATCTCTATCATCAATACCATCACTAACATCAATATCATCACCATGACTTACATCTCACCAGAATCACCAACATCAACACCCTGCTACCAAATCCAGGGCATTACCCTCACAACTATGACAATGATTATCCCAGTCTTCACTCGCTATTCCTATGCCCTAAGACTACCTCCTATTTCCCCTCTCTGCCCAGGGCTATGCATGGCACACTATGAGAGTGGCTTTGACACCTCCTTCGTGGACCACAATCCTGATGGCAGCAGTGAATACGGAATTTTCCAGCTAAACTCGGCCTGGTGGTGTGACAACGGTGTCACACCCACCCAGAACCTCTGCCACATGGATTGTCTTGGTAAGACAGCCCCAGAGGACACATGGAAGCCCTCCCTGGCACCCATGTACAAAAGAAAAGTGAAGGGAAAAGGAGAAAAGTTGCTTGGGCTGTTAGAGACAGCGTCCTGAATCCATAACCAGACTACATTGAGAGGTTGTCTAGGTTGCAGAGTTCCCAAACCTCATCAGAATGGAAGCTGCAGTTTCCTAAGACTCAGGAAACAGAAAACTTAGCTCCATGTGAAATAGAGGGAGACTGTCCTGATTTTTGGATTAAGGTTGTCTAGGCCCTGAAGGAAGAAATAGATGTTTGGAAGTAGGAAAAGAAACAAACTATCTCTGGGAAGAAAAGAGAGAACTTTCCATATAAAAGTGTAGTGTTGTTGAGGACAAAAATAGAATACCAATTGAAATTTCTCAGGGTTGGCCAAATGATGATTGAGGTTGTCCAAGATAGGCCAAAATGGAGACTTAAAGTTATTTCAGGCAAGTCCAAATGGAGGTTGAGGTTTTTTTAAGTCCTGTCAACATGACAAAAGAGGTCACCCAGGAAAGGCCAGATTGAAGGTTGAGGTTGCTTAGGACTGGCCACCATATAGGTTGAGATTGAGTGAGACAGGGTAAATGAATAATGAGTTTTTCCAAGGCTAAAATGAAGGTTAAGGCTATTCAATTAGAGACATGGAAATTGAGATAGTCCAGAAATAACGAAAATGGAAGTTGAAGTTACTCATAATCAATCAAAATGGCAGTTAAAACTGTCCAGCACTGAGCATGAGGCCCTGAGTTCAATCTCCACTACTTCAAAGAAAAAAAAGATTGCTGGGACTGGTCTACATGGGGGTTAAGATCATTGCTAAGTAGCCTAGTGGCAGTTAAAGGTCCTCCTGGTCCAACCAGCACAGCAGTTGAGATCATGTAGGACCAGGCAACATGGTGGCTAAGGTTAAACAAGACTAGCCAATATGGGACATTGAAGTAATTCATAACCAGTCAAAATAGGAGTTGAGTAGATCCAGGACCTAACAATGTACTGTTTGAAGTCACTAGGACTGACCAGCATGGCAGTTAAGTAGCTTCCCAATCAGCCAATAGGTGGTTGGACCAGACAGCATTAGATCATTCATAATCAGCCATTATGATAGCTGAAATCACCCAGAGATGGCCAACATGGAATCTGAGGTTGTCCAGTACCAGCCAATGTGATGGTTAGAGTTATTCATAGCCCGCCAACATGATAGTCAAGGACAACCAGGATCAGTCAACATGAGATAAGGTTGTACACAACCAGCCAACATGGTGGTTGAGGTCATTCATAAGCAGCTGGCAAAAAGTGAAGGTCATCTGCAATCAGCCAATGTAGTGACTGAGGTTATTCAGGACCCAAGGAACCCAGAAACTCTGGGTTCCATACATTATCACCCTGTCCTCAGTTCACCAGATCATCTTGTTCTCTTCTTCCCAGACCTGCTCAACCACCATATTCTGGACGACATCTTGTGTGCAAAGCAGGTCGTGTCCTCATATAACAGTATGAATGCCTGGTAAGTTCTGGACCCTAGACAGCCAAAGATGAGGTGGTACTACCATCCCCATCAATTTGTCTACTTCATTCTCACTCTCGCTCTCTCTCCCTTTGTTTCCCAGGGACTCTTGGGCCCAGCACTGTTCTGGTCATGATTTATCTGAATGGCTGAAGGGGTGTGATATGTATGTGAAAAATGACTCAAGGAAACACGGTGACTTAGATTCCTGGGGATAGAGATTTTCTTTTTCTCTCTTTGTTTCTTTTGTGGATTCAATAAAGGATGATGAATAATACAAAACCCACTGCTTATCAGAGAAGTCTCTTTATTTTCCCAATGCCTGAGGTAACCCTATTTAATCACTTCGATTCTTTCACAGCTCTAATGAAGAGACACCAGAGCACCTGGGGTGGGAGTTGTGGGAGGATAGTGTAGTGATTAAGAGCAGAAATGCTTCTGATTCCAATACCACAGGGTTTCAAGGCTGTGTTGCCACGAAAGAGGCACTTAATTCCTCCAATTTCCTCATCTGGAAAATGAGGATTATAATGCTATTAATGATCTCACGGTGTTATTGGGAGAATTAAATGAATTAATGATTGTAAAGCACATACAGTGCTTGCTATAAAAGTCAGTAATAGAGCCAGGGGTAGTGGCACAGACCTGTAATCACAACACTTGGGAGGCAAAGGCAGGAGGACTGCCAGGTTTCAGGCCAGCCTGGGTTACATGGTGAGATCCTGTCTCAAAAAAAAAAGTCCATCATAGGCTTGGAGATTAGAGGAGTCTAGTGGAAGGACATGAAACCTGGCTTCCTTTAAAAAGGACCAGTCTCAGATGAGGTCACTACAGGGTCTTTATTTAAGACATATACAGTCTCTTCAGGGGAGAACGGAAGTGGATTCAGCTTACACAGGAAGCTCAGAGGGAATTGAGAGTTTAAAATATTCACATTCTTGCACATCCTCCTACATATCGCCATGCTAACTCTCGGGCCCCATCGCCTTGTTCACAATCAACATCCTAAATTGCAAATGATAGACTGGGAATTTAGTCAAGGAATTCAATGATGCACAAAGTAATGATGTCTTTTTACACAATGCTCACGTTTCAGTCTGTGTCTTGGGCAGACCATTTAAGAATTGGAGCTTGACATTCTTTCTTTTGTCACTGGCAGTAGCCACTCCTATGAGGAAGCAGTCCCTCACATACTTTACAGTCCTTGCTTGGGGGTGGCTACTCATGCAAAACCTTGCTTTCAGCGTTCACTTCATCCAAAACAAGCACAGATAATCACTGAAGCAGCCTAGGGGCCACTGCATGCCAACAGAAGTTCAAGAACCCCCACCTTAATGTCAAATGGATTTCCCCTGTGTTCAGCCCCAACCAACACAGATAACTAAATGTCACATCTCCCTTGGGGTCCATAAAGGGTGCCATCGCTCTGGGTACTGACTTCTAAATATGATCATTATTCATCCAAGGCAGAAGAAATAAGCACTGCTGAATTTAAGTAAAAAATGAGTCTTCTAAAAGCCAATCAGGCAGCTTTTAGTCTTTCTGGGAAGGCTGCCCAATCAATCTCAGAAAAGGGGAAGGTCCACGTAGAGAAAAATAACTGAAATCTTGCCCACAGAACAGGCTGGGGTGGAATCATTGGCTTTTGCGACTGTTGCTACTTCTGGAAGCTGGATTTGAAGCACTAGAGGTGTGGGACTTTTTTTTTTTTTTAGATAGTTCTGATTGTGCACTCTCTTTAATAATTAAGAACATTTATAGTATATTCTTCATTGCTGTTCCTTTGGTAGTTATCATTAAATCTGTAATTTCATATCATTCGATAAACCCATTTTTCTATGAGAAATGACAAAGTAGGTATTTCAAATAAGATTTCATGAATTTTTTTCTATGAGACTTTGGTATTAAATTTGGAAACCTATTTCCCTCATATCATTTCCAAGGGACTATGCTTATTGAAATTAGTTAAATCGGGCTTCCCTTGATACCTCTGCCCAGATTTATGATGAGGTTTGGCTTCCAACTGACAATTCTCATATATTCAAGGAATCAAAAGACTTCAGTGTTGACCAACCTCTTCGATGTGAAATGATCATTCAGTACACCCATGATACAGGTTCAAAGGCCAAGTCTTTACTTCAGGACCTTGGATCTTGCTACTCCTTCTACCTGGAATGCTCTTCCCCCAGGATGGCTGGTGCTTCATTTTCAGGTCTAAGCTCAAATGTGATGTCATCAAAAAAGCTTTCCCTGATCTCCGCAGGTAAATAAAGCACAATCTCCCACCTCACCTTTTGCATTTTCTTTCTCTTTGACTTTTCTATGAAAGATCTTCTGTTTTCAGTTCTTTGGTTTCTATTCTCTCTGAGTTCTCTAACCCATGCTGAACCGTGACTCTGGGAGGGTTTCTCTCATATTCAGGACAGTCATAGGGTTTGTCTCCTATGTGAGTTCTCTTATGTACAGTGAGTTTGGATTTCTCTCTGAAGGCTCTGCTACACTTATCACATTTATAAGGTCTCTCTCCTGTGTGAGTCCTTTGATGTATAATGAGATATGATTTTTGGGAGAAAGCTTTCTCACATACATTACACTCATAGGGTTTCTCGCCCGTGTGAACTCTTTGATGAATAATGAGATATGATTTCTGGAAGAATGCTTTATCACATTCATTGCATTCATAGGATTTCTCAAATTTTTCTCTTGTATGAGCTCTCTCATGTAGCATGAGATATGACTTCCGGGAGAAAACTTTTCCACATACTGTGCATCCATCTGTCTTTTCTCCTGTATGGATTCTCTGATGAGCACTGAGGCTCAGCTTAAGTGTAAAGGCTCGTCCACATTCTGAGCACACGTAAGGTTTCTCTCCTGTATGAATTCTTTGATGCCTGCGTAGTGTTGATTTTTCTCTGAACGACTTACCGCATTCATTACATTCAAAAGGTTTCTCTCCTGTGTGTGTCCTCTGATGTACACTGAGATGTGCCTTTTGGTTGAAGGCTCGCCCGCATTCTGAACATTCGTAGGGCTTCTCTCCCGTGTGAGTTCTCTGATGGATAATAAGCTTTGTCTTTTCTCGGAAGGCCTTGCCACACTCATTGCAAACATACGGTTTTTCTCCCGTGTGAGTTCTTTGATGTATATTCAGTGTTGATTTCTCTCTGAAGTATTTACCACAATCCGTGCACTCAAAAGGCTTTTCTCCTGTGTGTGTTCTCTGATGTACACTGAGGTGTGCCTTTTGGTTGAAAGTTTTCTCACAGTCTGAACATTTATAGGGCTTCTCTCCTTTGTGAGTTCTCCGATGGATGATAAGATTTGTCTTTTCTTGGAAGGCACTGCCACACTCAGTGCATACATATGGTTTTTCACCCGTATGAGTCCTTTGATGTATGTGCAGGGTTGATTCCTCTCTGAAGGATTTACCACATTCATTACACTCAAAGAGTTTGTCTCCTGTGTGCACTGTCTGATGTATACGGAGGTGTGGCGTCTTGTCAAATGCTTGCCTACAATCTGCCCACTGATAAGGTTTCTCTCCTATATGAGTGATCTGATGAACAATGAGGAGGGAATCCGTGCTGAGGGTTATTCTGCACTCAGGACATTCATAGGCTTTCTCTGCAGCTGAAGTCATATCATACTGAACAAAGTTATGACTGGGACCTTTCCCATATGTACTGCAGTCATGGGGTTTTATTCCATCATTTATGCCATGCCTGCCATGAATTAATAATTTCCCACACCCATTACATTCATAACACTCCTGAGCTGCAAAGTTCAGACTGTTAGGGCTGAGTAAGCCCAAATTATCTTTAAAAATTTTCCCATATGAGTCACTCCTATAGGGAGTACGTCCTGAAGAAACTCCCCATGTGCTCTGAGGAAGTGGAAGTGGGTTTACAAATTCATCACATCCATGAGCTCTTTCCTCAGTCACATTTTTCTCAATCATGGATAGAGTTTGCCTCAGGTGTGTATTTTGGTTTCCCTGGTGCCTCTGCAGCTGGTCTTCAGCTTGCCCATATTCTGGAAAGAAGAAGAATACACCATATTCTAGAAATACACCTTTGTCAGAAGGAGAGCTCCGGCAGGGCTGATTAATTTCATTTAAGTCTAGATACCAGTCAGAAAGAAATTCCAAGCACATGTCTCTTCTACACTCAGAGCTTGAGGGGAGAAAACAAAGTTGATCTAATAGACACTGGAATTGGAAAGTAACGATAAATATATGTAACATGATTGTTTAAAAAAATAGCTTAAAACTAGAGAGAGAAGGTAAAAATAAGTTTAGGTAGCCATGAATAGGGAAAAAAAGGATACTGGAAAGGTAGAAGGTTCAGGAGTTGGGGGAAGGGAGACTCAGAATGCAAAGAGCCTTTCAGAAAGGCTGACAACAATTCAGGTGAACAAAAGAAGATGCAGAAGAATGTAGTCTAGTTCCTCACCATTGCACTCCAAGAGCAGCATGAGACAATAACTCAAAAAACTGACAATTTGTAGTTAGCAATGATAGTACATAGCCGTAGGGAGGTATTTTGGATCTTACAAGATTGCCACCCCTCTAGGGTCTTACTCTCATTATCTCCCAATTCTCCTTTCTTACCTGTATAACTTGGGCTTGGGATTTCTCTCTTTATGATCCCAAGGACTCCCTGCTCCAAAGAGGCAATTACTTCTGGTTTGGTAATAGGATATCCTGGAATGGAAAATGATACAAGACTTGGGTAACTCTGTTACCCACTGCTTTCAGGGCTTCAAAACATTAGGAAGGTAATTTTAATGAGGGTAAATGTCACATAGGAGGTGAAAGTAAACCTTCACTTTTAAGAGGGAATAAGAATCTTTAGTCCCTAGAGTCTGAGGTCAAAGTATTGAGGCACATCAGAGATGGAAAGTTACTATA